ACAAAGTTTCTCTTGTTACCCTCAGTAGAGTGCCATAGCATCACAGTTCACAGCAACCTCTAATTCCTGGGCTTAAGCGATTCTCTTGCCTCAGCTTCCCAAGTAGCTAGGACTACAGGTGCCCGCCACAATGCCCGGCTATTTTTAGAGATGAGGTCTCAAACCCGTGAGCTCAGCAATCCACCCGCCTTGGCCTCCCAAGTGCTGGGATTACAGGCATGAGCCACCAGGCCCAGCCTGATGGGGAGGTGATTTTGATATGAGTCTGCAAACTCATATGAGGTATTATGGTTTCTGTGCAGTCAGACCTGCTGCTAATGATGATCTGTATTTGCAGCCACTCCCCAGCATCACCACCCCAGCTCCAACTCTGATCTTCAGCATTAAACTTCCATTAAAATTAAGCAGCCTAGATGCCTCCCATGTGCAGTTTACAGTAGGGTTTGCGCTCCTACGAGAATCTAATGGTACTGTTGATGTGACAGGAGGCAGAGCTCGGGCAGTGATGCCAGTGATGGGGAATAGCTGTAAATACAGGTGAAGCTTCTCTCCCTTGCTGGCTTGCACCGTGACATCAATACAGCTAACTGCAATGTCAGACTCCTGAACTCAAGTGATACTCCTGCCTCAGTCTCCCAAGTAGCTGGGACTACAGGTGTGTGACACCATACTCTGCTGATTTTTCTATTTTTTGTAAAAATAGGGTCTCACGCAGTCGCCCTCCCCGCTCCCCTGCCCCTTCATCCCCTGCCACTGTGAGGTGCTTAGTAACGGTAAATGTTGGATGTGTACCCAAAAAGTTCATGTGGAACACAGCTGTCCACTCTGAATTCATGTGCGATCATGTTGATTACGACTTTCAAAGTTGTGAGAGTAAATTCAATTGGCGTGTTATTAAGGAAAAGCAGGATGCCTATGTGAGCAGCCTGAATACCATGTAGCAAAACAATCTAACCAAGTCCAATATAGAAATCATCTATGGCCATGCATCATTCACAAGCCATCCCCAGCCCACAGTAGAAGTCAATGGGAAAAAATACACTGCTCCGCACATCCTGATTGCCACTGGTGGTGTGCCCTGCATTCCTCAGGACAGCCAGATCCCTGGCGCCAGTCTCAGAATAACCAGTGATGGCTTTTTTCAGCTGGAAGAAGTGCCTAGTCACAGTGTCATAGTGGGCGCAGGTTATATTGCTGTGGAGATAGCTGGGATCCTTTCAGCCCTGGGTTCTAAGACATCACTAATGATAAGGAATGATAAGGTACTTAGAAATTTTGATTCCCTAATCAGAACCAACTGCACGGAAGAGCTGGAGAACAGCGGCGTAGAGGTGTTCAAATTCTTCCAGGACAAGGAGGTTAAAAAGACTTCACCAGGCTTGGAATTCATCATGGTTACTTCAGTTCCTAGTCGAAACCCCACTGTGACCATGATTCCAGATGTTGACTGCCTGCTCTGGGCCACTGGGAGGGACCCAAACTCCCGGGGTTTGAACTTAAACAAACTGGGGATTCAAACTGATGCCAAAGGTCATATCTTAGTAGATGAATTCCAGAACACCAGCGTGAAAGACGTCTACGCAGTTGGGGATGTGTGTGGAAGAGCTCTTCTAACTCCAGTTGCAATAGCTGCTGGCCAAAAACTTGCCCATCGACTTTTTGAATGCAAAGAAGATTCCAAATTCGACTATGACAACATCCCAACTGTGGTCTTCAGTCACCCTCCTATTGGCACAGTGGGACTCACAGAAGATGAGGCCATTCATAAATATGGAAAAGAAAATGTGAAGACCTATTCAACCTCCTTTACTCCAATGTATCACGCGGTTACCAAAAGGAAAACAAAATGTGTGATGAAAACGGTCTGTGCCAACAAAGAGGAAAGCTGGTCGGAATCCATATGCAGGGTATTGGATGTGATGAAATGCTGCAGGGTTTTGCTGTTGCAGTGAAAATGGGAGGACGAAGGCCCACTTTGACAGAACGGTTGCCATCCACCCTACCTCTTCAGAAGAGCTGGTCACACTCTGTTAGGAACCTAGAGACTTGGAGACTGCAGCTGGACTTGTAGACCCTCTGAAATGAACCAAACAGTCACATTCACTTTCTTTTTTTTTTTTTTTTTTTTTTTTTTGAGACAAGGTCTTGCTCTGTAGCCTGGGTTTGAGTGGAGTGACATTATCATAGCTCATGCAGTGTCAAACTTGAGGCCTCAGGCCATCCTCCTGCCTTACCCTTCCATGTAATTGGGACTGTATGTGCATGCCATCACACTAGGCTCATTT